TTGATCTCTCAGCTGTCTCAGGTAAATGCTTCTGTATTCAGCTGTTCGATAATATCTGGCTTCAAGCTGAATCCCTTTGTCCCTCCAGCTGTTTGGGTGTCTTTGTTCACCATTTCTTCTATAGCTTGGTCAACAGGGATTCGGGCCAAAGGGATTGGTGGAGCCCAGTTGACCTGAGGAGCCTCCTTCCATGAGTTCCGTGTACACGGAACTCATGGTGATAGGCAGCTGAGACATCTTGGCGTATTAGTATATTCAGTAAATTCAGCAGTCATATTCAGTCAGTTTTCACCTGCACCATGAAGTACAATCAGAAATCATAATTACTTTGATGCAAATTCTGAATTAATCTGTCAGTACTTTGGTGACACATTGACCGCAAAACTAACATTGATAAAGGGTCAAATTCATCTATACTAATCTTAACTAAATTAAGGGGAGGTGCTACAGGTTAATATGCAATAAAAATTATTGTCCTTTTATCAGATTGATAAATTACCAGATGAATGAAAATTTATCAGATGAATTTCCACAAAAATATTTGTAAAAAATGTATTGTGACTCTTCCCCCATTCATTTATGCATATTTTGTGTTATCGCTTTAAATATGCACACAATTGCATATTATGTAAAACACAATATGGACTTATTAGATGAAGTCAGAACTTTCTGGTTTGTTTTAATGTGATCAATAACTAATTGGTTGGTAATCTACAGACCCTTTGTCAAAATATTGTTCTTTCAGTTGATTATGTTAGAATACACTTGACATATGTTAAAAAACAAGATTTTCACCTATTTTTTTAGATGTAATACATCATAAAATGAAAATGACAAAATATATTTTAAAAATCCCTCTGAACATTTATAGCTATTCCAAGGAGGAAGCAGTATTTAGAATAACGTAGCTCTACCTATGATGAAACATGAGTTGTCAAACTTGGCATGCACAATGCCATTTTGATAAATCGCAATGCCAATTCTGGCATTGTGATGCTCATAGAAATGAGATTTGAGAGTTCTACTCTTATTGCCATGACAGCAAAGTCAATAGCCATATGTGACTAAGCTAGACGTCTGCTCCAGAGAATAATATTTTCAATGATATGCAATTCAACGAGGTTATTTCTCAAATTGCGATGAAAGATGATAAAAAACGCTAATTGAAGTCTTCGTTTACTTAACGAAGTTTGTATAACATCGTAAAAACGAACTCTTTATAATATATTGATAGTTTTTTTTATGATTTTAATTATCAATTATTGCCAATAACAAAGTTATTGGTAATGATTGTGTGCATGTTAGGAAAGTTTACAATTTATAGAAGCAAAATATAAAAAATGTTAAAATTGACAAACTGAACAAAAATTATTATTTTTGCCTGTACTACCGAGCCTGAACTAATAATCTGAACAGGTACATCAACAATGCATTGAGGGTAAAGTTAGCACTTCAGATATCTTTACTGAACAGAAATAATACAGAACGACAGTAAATGATCATGAGCAAACAAGCTGCTAGAAACAGAAGGAAAACAGATAGCACCAATCTATTCCAGACTTCACTAAGTCACATTGAAGAACAAGTGTGAATGAATGCAAGAATATGTATAAAACACATGCCTTGGGGACAAACATCCATTTTGTAAATTATTTATTGTCTTAATTAACAGCAGAGGTGTTGGAATGTTTTATTTGTAACGTCCGGGCAAATAGGCCTGATTGCGAGAGGTGCAAACACTGGTTTCCTGCGAGAAAAATTAAACAGCTGCTCATTTGTAAAGGTTATCGTGTATTATTTTACTTCTGTTGGTGTAACAAATAAAATGGCACCATTGAGGTGTTGCCACCTTGGGTGGTACCGATATCTGGTCTGGCCCAAGAACTCAAGCTCGACCCTGATAATCGGGTGCATTCTGAATGATTCGGTCAAAGGACTGTGTTCGTATAGCTCATGGGAATAGGGTCTGTCTGTCGGGATTTGGTGGAAGTTGCTGTGACGCCGACAGAAAATGCGATTTTATGCGGGAACATATAAAAAGCTACTATTAACAATCATCCTTCGGCCAATGTTGCATGGATAACTGCATTTTAAGTGCCACGTAGCGAGCTCTGAAAAGGCGGTGGTTAGCACAGCGAGTGCTCGCTTTAAGTTGAATGGACTTTGTGTGGACAAACACAGGCCCATCTGCTCTTCCAAGCATCGCTCACATGTGTCAAGAGACGGGTATTAAGAAAAAAAAGGGGGGCGCATAAAGGAAGAAAATAAATAATCTATTTGACGAAAACCTTGAATAACATTTCCCTTTTATTCAACTTCAAATCATGGCCAGTGCACAAGACCCATCACTGTGGCTCAAGGGGCTCTTATTGCTTGAGTGAGAACACGAAGCCAGCCGGCGTTGGCTTCGTGTCCCAGCACAAGCATGATACTGCGTTTTAGTTTTGCGCAGCCATGTCCTGATTAAACCAGTTTCTCTAGACGGCCTCGGTCACAGTTACAAATATAACTTTGATTTAAAATTGCGTTTCATTACGGCTTAATTAAATTTGGAACTTCATTTTGGCCAGCCGTTCACTGGGGGTTCAGATTTTCAAATGTATCGGATGAATGACAACTGGGCTGAAATGCTTTATTGGTGAAGTTTTAGATTATAAATAGATAATACAATTAACGAGGCATGGGTCAGTCTCTCTCTCCGTTGGCTACGACGTTGGGTAAGAGTTGGGCGTACCACAGTTTATCGATTAATATTGATTGTTATACTCAAGGTACTTGCATCAAATTGTTTGCATGGGAATGTATTGCTCAAGATGTATGTAGCGTCTATGATAATTATACGTGCAGTCTAATGGAGCAATTGAGACGCTGAAACAGATGAAGAATAACAATTGAGATGGTGAAAAATGGACAACAAGTTTTGGCTTTTTAAATTACATCACGACCCCTAGTTGTGACAGTTCATACTTGACACCTCCGATTAGCATGGTTGGCTACGTAGGGTGCGAAAGAACGTTCAACAACATATGACTTATTCAACAATTCTTGACTCGGGAAATGAGGTGGTCAGTAAATAATTAAATACTTGGTAAGAGCCCTCTTGAGCAATGACATCATCTCACGTGCAGGTGCTCGGTGGTGAATTGTTACTTCACAGGATTGTGGGAGATGGCTACTGCTTGGGGAGACCTACATCCAGCAGTGGATTTATCATGGCTAATGTTGAATGAAGAGGCTTTTGAAATTATGTTCATTAAAGTTGGTCCATATATACGCCTCTATATATACACCTCTATATATACGCCTCTATATAAGGAACGAAACAGGTTGACTTCTCCACAAATCTGGCTGTCGCCTGATGAAGCTAGTTGTAATTACTGGCAAAACGTCGTACTCGGATTGTAAATGTTGTGGCTTGGCTTCCCAACACACCGTTGTGCTGTACTAGTGACGAATTGTCACGTTCTGTTTATGTGACAACCCTTACTAGTTGGCTGTGTCGGGTGGTGGTGGGTTTTAAAGACACATTTATATATGTACGCGATCTAACCCAAAAGACCTAAATCATGGACCTTTGTCTTTGTTATATATATGGATGCCCGCTCTTGAGCTGCCTGACCACCGTTGGCTGCACAGAGCGCCCAGAGTGCAGGTGGCGGGCGTCGAGCTCTGCAAAGTTGACATTCCCTGCCTCTGGATGAACTCGGCAAACAGGATGCGTGTCTGTGGTTGATACACTTAACTCATGATCACGGTGGGAAGTGTTTCCTGACTTGGCTTCCATTATATTGTTGTCCCCCCACCCCCCTTCCCCCCCCCCCAAAAAGTAAAATGAACCACACCAGACAGAAAGTCCAACGCGAATGCAATGAGACCAGAACAAATGTGGACCGGCTTTGGCCATGAATGAAATCCTTTGTGAGATGAGAGCGTGCACTCCCGTGAACTATTTGTGAGACCATTGGCTCGTGTTGTTTTTTTATATGCTATGTATTGACTCATCCTGTATTTTCCAGTCTGCAGATCAGATGTCAATATTATTAGGGTCGCAACTACACATTGCGGTGACTCCATTGTAAAAACACCACGAACAATGGCAGACATCGGTGCTCATTCATAAAAGTTACACTTTTTGGCGGAAACTTCCTCTCAAAATGTTTTGCCTTCATGTGTATCTCCTTTCAGTTTGTGAACTGACAAGTTCACACTTTTGTTGTTGTACAGGAAAGCTTGACTGAGTTATCAATGATCCTTAAGGAAGGTGTTTTTTTCCTGGAATGTTTGGCCAATCCCGTGAATGTTTTGTGTTTGAAAGGAATAACGGAGTACCTTGAGAAAATCTATACTTGCTATTAGAAAAACGTCCTCTATGGGTAATTCATTGGCCATTATGGTTATCGCGAACACTGCTTTCGAACAGAAGCATATTATCAGAGGCTGATGTGTTGGGCAGTGGCCAAGAAGAAAAATAATTTTTACTTGACTTTTGTATCTTAATATGGTAACCTTGATGCCTATTTTTAAAATGATTTTAAAAGCAGTGCATTAAACTGAATTTGATGAAAATTCGACATCTCTCCGTCTCTCACCATTTTTGCCGACCCCTTCCCTTTCTACACATTTTTTTTTACCATACAGCCATCATACAATGTGGAATGGGGCTAAAGACAGAGAGTATATTGGCTGCTTCATTGTTTGCCGTCACATGAGCGTTGACCCTCGACGAGTGAGGAGCATCCAACGATTAAACCGGTTAATGTGCAAAGATTATTTACATGTTCTTTCCCGAGCACATCCGCAACCCAAATATTCTCCCCATGGATAATCAAGAGCAGAGTTAACCAGATAATCAAGAGTCGAGTTAACAGTACTTATCACTGCTCTGTCTTCGGAGTTACGTGTGCGTCACTGCGACCCGTCTACTTGCTTTGGTACAACTGCCTGTGTTTGGCCCCCTTCCCTCTCACCCTTACCGCTGCTCCGTGGCTTCCCTCCCGCAGTCTCTCGAACAGCCCCAGGCCTCAGGGCGGCGTCCATCGGTGCTGTTCCGCAAGTCGAGCATCCCGGACCTGTCGGGGAAGGCGCACAAGTTCCAGCGGCAGCTCAGCGAGGAGGACTCACGGGCTCGGCGTGGCAGCCTCGGGACAGCGCTGGCAGGTTCGCATCATTCGCACGTTCCACTCGCCTGTCACACCATGGTGGCGAGATGTTAACTACCTCGCCTGGTATACAGGATGTATGCATGAGGTCGTGGTTTTTTGTCCTGACCCTAAAATCTGTATATTTGTAGTTTTCATGTTCTCCCCGTGTACGCGTGGAATTTTTCTCCGGGTCCTTTGGTTTTCCCCTGCACATTTAGAAACATGCGTTTAGAGTATTTGGCTGATATCAATTTCTACATGATAAGTCACTTTGTTGAGCTATTATTTATGGCCAGGTCGCTCATAACAAAGAGCTCTATAGCTAAGTGGGCCTTACGTGGTAAAATATTTATTTTTTATTTTTTACTCAAAAATTACAGTTGATCAACTACTCTAAGAAAATGACACTGCCACACACTCAAAGCAGGACCTACTTGGTGTGAGGGGCTGGTAACCCCTCCACCTTCAATTAATTACCACCAAACTACGATTTAAAAAAAATATTAAGCTTGTGCCGGATGCCCCGGGGGGACAGGCGTCTATGACATCTCCTGGCCAAACCCCATTTGGCGGAGCCAGGAGACTGAATCCTTACCCTTGGGGCTCCTCCAGAAGCAACAAAAAGCCACTACGCATGGCCACGTGAATGTTCGAATGCTCACTGAGGAGGAGAGGCTGCCACTCCTCTGTTGGGAGCTGGGCCGGTACCGCCTGGATCTCTGGTATTCAGGAGGTCCAGTGGACCGGCTCTGGCACCGGGCCACCATGAGGGGTGGACAGTCCTCTACTCAGGGCAGGAGACTGCCAAACAACGAGGGAGTGGATCTTCTGAACAAAATAATGAAGGGGGCATGGTAGCGTGGCGGTGAGGTGTGGCAAGCTGTAAGCCCCAGGCTACTTTGGGCTCGCCTTCCCATCAACCAGAGGCGAGGAGTGGTGGTCGTGGTTACTTATGCCCCCACCGAAGACGAACATCTGTGGAGGGATGCAGGCAAGGCCGATGAGTCAGATGCCTTCTATGACCTCCTGTCACAGGTGCTGGCTAATTTGGCCCCTTGGGATAGAGTCATCTTGTTGGGTGACTTCAATGGCCGAGTTGGTCATGATGCTAACACCTGGTCTGGAGTGATTGGAAGGCATGGGCCAGATCAGCTCAAAAACAATGGTGGTAGGCGGCTGCTAGATTTTTGTGCAGCCCATGGGGTTGTAATTACCAACACAATGTTCCGGCATCGGCACATCCACACAACATCATGGATGCATGCCGGGTCCAAGCAAGAACATCTGCTGGACTACATAGTGACGGTACAGCGGTTGTGGGCCCATGTCCTTGACACCAGGACCTACCGTTGACTGATCTGTCCACTGACCATCGACTTGTCATCCGTAAGATGCGCCTGCCATTCTGGTGGTGGGTGTACACCCAGGACCCCATTCAAACCCATAGTGGCATGGTCTCAGCTAGCTGATGAAAGTTGCAAGTGAGAATTTCATCATCGCTTGCGACTTGGATTGGCATCGCCGGAGCCCTTCCTTGTTCACCTTGGGGTGCGACAGGGATGTCCTCTGGCTCCCACATTATTTAACATCTATTTCGACCACGTAGTTCGTTAAGCCTTCAATAGCTGTGCTGGAGAAATTTCCATCTGGTACAGATAGAATGGGAGGCTTATCGGTGCCCAGGTGCGGTCAAGGGATGGCTCCCTATTGCTCAACCATGTTATGTATGCCGATGATCTGGTAATTGCTGCTCACTTAGAGGAGGAGTTGGAAGCGCTGCTGCTGAACCTGGAGCTTGCCACTAAGAGGTGTGGCCTTACCATCAGCCCCACCAAAACTAAGCACCTGCCTGGGTATTTTGTACCATCGGACACTCCAACCCCACAACTCCCAATTGGTGATAGAGCAGTTGTGGAGAGAGTGGAGAGTTTCCCATACCTGGGCAGTGTGCTCATGACCTGCTCCGGTTTGACAGTAGAGGTCTCACCCTGAATCAGTCGAGCGGCATTATCTTTTCATCAGTTGCGTAACGCTGTGTCGAAGCTACCTGGTTTGTCGCTCTGCACGAAGCTTTGGGTCTTCTCGGCCACGGTCATTCCCTCCCTTCTCTACGCTTGCGAAACGTGGACCCCCCTAATGGAACATCTTCGCCAGTTAGAAACCTTTAGGCTGGCCGGCCTACGATCCATTCTGGGTTTAACCAGGCTGGATTATGTGAGGAGCTCACAAATGCTTGAATGATCTGGGCAAAGTCCCATCGGTGAGCTCCGCATGCCCAGCCACCGCATGCCCTAAACAGCTTTTGTTCGGCCGGATCGAGGGGGCTAAACGGGCGCGACACGGGCTAGAGAATAGATGGAGTGATGTGGTACAGGAGGATGTGGAGCTGAGTGGACTTGCCGATGACTGGTACCAGCGGTGTCAAGATCGGCTTCTGAAGGACGCTCCTGGGTATTTGGAGGCAGTCGCCCTCCAACAATAACGGAGGGCGGAGGAGCAATGCTCACAACAACGAGCGGAGCGCTGGGTGGCTAAAGCACAGGAAGTTGGCACAGGAGGGGGCACAGGTGGTGCATCAGCCAGTCATCTCGGTCATCTCAGTCAGTTGACCCGTGGCACCTGGGTCTGCCCTGAGACCTCCTGCCAGCGGGTGTTGGACACTTCAAGTGGCCTCAACATGCACATAGCCTGGCACAATCGTCGTGGTGATGTCACCGCCACTTAGTGGCGAATGGCGGTTGTTTTTTGACCATACTTCACTACACTGGTCTTTCAGATCATATATCACTTGTCATTGATCTTACCCGTGGCTGGGAATAGAACTTTGTTCGCTGGGGTCATAGTGCAGTTCGCAAACCACTGCACCACTGCTGCCTGCCCCCTTATATGTACAGTGCATATAAGCAGTGAATCCCTGTGCACATAGCACTGGATGTGGCTGGTAAGCAGTGTGGAAGAGCGCCTAATTCATGATCGAAAGGGTTCAAAAGTGAAAATTCCCATCTTGTGTCAATGCAGCTCATCCCCCCCGCCAGGTTGATAAAGTGAGTACCGCTTTGTGAGAAGTCAAACAAAGGCCATCTTATGAAGGAGAGTGAAGCCCATTGTGGAACCTTTCCATTTAAACGTTCACATGTAAATTTGTAGTTTCATTTCATAAAAAAATATGTATTATTGATTCAGTGGCAATGAACATATATACCAATTCAATACTCGCTTGATTGTGGAGGAACTCTGAATCTTTACCAATGCTCGATCTTCAGCTCAAATAAGCACAACAGTGAACCCTTTCCGCGTGGGTAGACCCAGAAGCATTGCTGCACAGCAGAAGCCTGCCCTTCAGAATCTAAATCTCAGCATCAGAATCTTTATTTATACTGGAGAAATCCAATCAGCTAGGGTAGACCGAGAAGCATTGCCATACAGCGGAAACGTGCACTTCAGAATCAGAATCTTGATTCAGACTGAAGGAATCCGATGAGCGATGAAGCTCGTTTTTCACAAATGAGTCAATATTTATATTGCTGCATTGCAGAGTTGTTAACCCTCCATTCGGTGGGTGGTTCCTCCTCCTCTGCTGTACCTACTGACTCAAACACCTTCCCTCTTTTCCGTAATTTCAATAGCATTGATTCAACACACGCTAACTTTAGATTGGTTTCGACATTGATTTTCTCATCAGCAGAGTTCTATTTTGATGGAAAACGATATAATGCACACCACATAATACTCATTAGCCTTGTAGGGTAGAATACAAGTAACACAATAACTAAGCAAATGAGTATATATCGGCAAGGGGCACTTATGGGAAATGTCTTGTGCTTTCTGAAGACATCTGTCCTTCCTGAGTAAACATATTTTTCCCATTTAGTTCTGTTGTGTGTTGCAGCAATGAGTTTTGGCCATCAATGAATGCTGGCATTCCACCAAACATTCCACAAAATTTAGCTGGATTGGCAAGGTTTGTCGAGAGTTTTGCAATGTCTACCCTTTCAGCTGGAGCGTTTTAGTTTTCAGACTCGTGCTACATTGATATGTCCCGGAGAGGAACCATTTAAAATTTCACATCTAAATTCCATCCTGAGATAAAAAAAATCTGTCTGTGTTTCATGGTGATATTGGCACTATGCATGTAAATATCATACATGTGTGCTCAGTAGTACAAATGACAATTGCCAAAACGTATGACCTACCTGGTGTACTAGACACGCTGCCAAATTTAAATTTTGGAAAGGGCTGTTGATGTTCTGGACAATTGTTCTACTTTAAAATAATCAGTGTTCCAATGTCAAGTCATAATAACCCTGGCAAGTGGGTGTGTTGTATGATTTTATGTGATTGACCTTGAGTGAGGGATGGAAATTCTAAATTCCTATGTCAGGAGCAAATACGTCTTCAGTTACTTCCCACTAAGTATGCAACAATGCTTCAATCGAGAGGTGTAAAGCCCATTGAGCTATACAGCTGATTTTCAAGGGCAACCCGTTAATTTGTATTGATGCTTAAGCTTACGATACATGTGAAGGGGATTCTGAGATCAATGGTTTCTTGCAAGGGCTTCTACCCGTGGCCATGAACACACAACAAACTGGCAGGGAGCTTGAGGAATACGAACGCCCTAAGATCCCTCTGTACAGCCCTTAAATAGCTGTCTCAGTACCCCCCTGCAACTTTCTTAACCATTCTAATCCCTTGAGCTTATCCCCTTCTTGGCCCCTTCAACGGGTCTCCAACCAACCCCCAAATGCACTTGAACTTTGCGGACTCTTCCCCTTTCAAATGTCCTAAGCCAATCGGGGTGAACAGCCCCTTTCCCATTACCACCAACTTGGTGTGCGTTGACGATCATCAACTGTTATGGCTGCGCTCAGCTCGGCAGAGCCGTCAACACTGTAAGTGAGCCTAATGGAGTTAATTGTGCCGGCTTTTGAATGGCAAAGCCGTTTAACTTTCGTTGCTTTTGGTAACGGCAAAACAATATACGAGGTACGTCTTCCGAAGACCTCTGCACGTGCA